TATAACATTCTGGAAAGGCAAAATTATGGAAATAGTAAAAAGTCAGTGGTTGCCACAGGTTAGAGACGTAGGGTGGGGAGAGGGATGAATAGGTGGAGCACAGAGAATTTTTAGGGCAGTGAAAACACTATGCGTGATAACCTAGTGATGGATATATTTTCTAAACCCGTAGGATGTACACCAAAAAGGAACCTTAGGATAAACTACGAACTTTGGGCGACTATGATGTGTCACTGTAGGTTCATTAGTTGTAAAAAATGTGCCCCTCTGGTGGGGGTGTTGGTGATGGAGGATGCTGTGCATGTGTGAAGGCAGGAGGTATAAGGGAAATCTCTCTACCTTCCGCTCATCTTTGCTATGAACCTAAAGCTACTCCTAAAAAAAAATCGGTAAACAAAAACCCCAAAACCTTCCCTCGACCTACGTTCTCATCCAGCTGCTATCCTATTTCTTTTCTCCTTCACAGTAAAATTATTCTGTAACTTTTAATAAGAAAAAATTCAAACATCCATAGAATAATGAGCCCCCATGTACTTGCCTTATAGATTACAATTTTATTAACTTTTCGTGATAGTTTCTTCATTACTTTAAAAAATTTTTTGCTTTAGCACTTTAGAGTAAATATCAGATCTCATGACATTTTACTTCTGAATATTTCAGTGCATCTGTTAAAAATAAGTGCATTTTCTTACATAATCATGATAACAGTATCACACCTAACACACAAAAATTCCTTAATGTCATTGAATATCCAGTTTTGAATCACATTTCCTCGATTATCCCTGAAATATATTTTTATGTTGGCTTAGTTGAGTAACAGTCCGAACAAGTTTCATGCATTGCACTTGATGTAATCTCTTAAATCTCTTTCAATTTAGAATATTTATTTTTATTTGCCATGGGCTTGTTAAAGATACAGGTTAGTTGTCCTGTAAACTGTCCCACACAGTGTAATTCTTAAGAGAATGCCACTCCTTCATCTGCTCTTCCTTGAACTCTTTCAGTTGGGTTTCCTGCTTTTACATCCCATGAAGACAGCCCCATGATGTCTATGTTAACACAACCCATAGGCATGTCCCTTTCCTCATTTTATTTGATGTCTCAGCATCATTTGATAGGTGAGCACTCTACTTCTTGAAATTGTCTCTTCTCTTGGCTTCTGGGATCCATGCTCTCCTATAGTTCTTCCATCTCACAGGTAGTTCTTACTCAGTCTCTTTTCTGCCTTTTTCAACTATGACTGATCTCTAAATACTGGAGTGGCCAGGGATCATCATATAGGTCTCTTCTTTCCTGTCTGCCTTCTCTGCTTAGCTAAGCTCATCACGTCCCATGACTGTGAATACCACCTATACATAGTTAACTTCCTGAGTTAAATCCCTGAGTTAAATTTCCAACCTCCTATCTGAATTTACATTTAAATGTTTAATGAGTATTTCAAATTTAACTTACCAAAAGTAGGACATCACTTTCCAACAGTCTCTAACCCCCAAATCCTCCTTTTACCCAACTCTTTCAAATTTTAGTAAATGGTACCATAAAACATCCAGTTTCTTAAGCCAAAAATTTAGAAATAATCTTCGGGCTCTCTTTTTCCCCCTCAATTCTCACTTTCAGTCTTTAGGAAGTCTAATGAACTCTATCTCCAAAATATACCCGGTCCTACCCTCTTTTTTCTGTCTCCACAGGTCCCACCCCAGTGAAAGACACCATCATCCCTCTCTAGACTTCCGCACTCCTAACTGGACTTCCTGCTTCTATTTTCCCCCCATTCAACTGTTTTCTCTACAACAGCCATAATATTTTACAGAATGTAAACGAGCATATGTTACTCCCTGAGACCCCGTGGTCCTCCCATCAAACCCACAATAAATCCAGATTCACTACTCTGACTTGAATTGTGTCCTGGTATCCTACCTTTCTCCTCTCATGCTTCCCTAGCCATGCTGAGTAGGGATCAGAATGTTGGCGATCAAGAACATTAGTCTCTACTCTCTAGGATAAGAGGGTTCATGTTGATTTTGAAGACCACTGTATATACAGTGTGTAGTGCTGTGCTGGTTATATAATAAATATTTGCTGAATGAATACATGCATGAATGCAGCCCTGGGTGGCTCAGTTGGTACCTTTGCTCTTATTGGGTATCTTGTTACCACTTGTGCATTAAGAACGTGGAAGAATCTGAAGTAGATGAAGGGATGCTGTGTGTGTGTGTGTGTGTGCGCCATATGAGGGTTAATGAAGATCATTTTGGAGGAAATTCAAGGAAGACCACACCCGCTCTACCTCTTTTCCTAAGAACAAACTAAGATGTCCCACAGGAGGATAGGAGGGTCTCTCTTCCAAATGGTTATGGATGGCTCAGTGCCTGAAATTTATTTATTTTGTTGTTGTTTAAGTAGACCTCAGCTGCATTGGATTAATCAGAATATGTGGTTCATGACACACTCTCATCTTTGGTTCATGTCTGGCTCATTCTAATCTAAATTTTTGTGTTCATGATTCTTTTGCTTTCCTTTCTATATTGTTCTATTGAATCTTTATGCATGCATTAAAGCATATCTTTTATTTAACTTGTTTTTAACTTTATATAAAGGGTGTCATGCTGTATGTAATCTTTTGGGACTTGCTTTTTCATTAATATTGTGTTTCTATGGATCATTTTTATTGCTGCATGCAACTGTAGTTCAATTATTTTCACTGCTGTATTATATTTAATTGTGTGCTTATAGCGCTGTTTATTTATCCACTCTCCGATTGATGGACACTTGGGCCAATAATATGACCATCACACAGCTACCATTTTGAGGGTGTCTTTGACCTCTAAAATTCAGTTAAGTCAATGTCTTGTTAGTATTCATGTAGTGATAAAGGTGCTCGAGGAGCTCCAGGAGATGTCAAGATGTATAAAGATAAGTGACTGCCCTTTGGGGGTGGGGGGGAGTACGTGCACACTGTGGAGACAGAGACACAGATGTATCCATAATTACAGAGTGGGGAATTTGCTAAATGGTGCAAAGGTACCACTTAATGGAGTCAGACAGGGGCGATTAAGAGAGATTCAATCTCAAGTTCTAGAAGGTTTGAATGTTGCATCATCGTATATGTATGTGAATACAGTAGGTGGAAAAGGAGGACAGTTGAAGGCAAGATTATTTCAGGAGTGGGAATGATGTGAGAGGTACAGAGGTAGGAAAAGGTACAGAGAATCTGAAAGACAGTGATATCCTGGGGTGGTTGAAGCCTGATTTCAGGAAGGGGAATTATAGAAAAGAGGTAGGGAGGTAGGATCTTGGCCTTGAAAGCTTTGAAGTTAGAAGGAATTGAGTTTTTATTCCATCTGCAGTTCAAAGTCATTGAAGGGGACAGTGTTGGCAACTTCGGTGACTCTAAGGGGATGTGTGTAGAGGGCTTGCACGGGTGGGTTTTGATGGGTTTGTGCCCTCCTAGGGAGTACTTACAGGTACTCTGAGTATACTACCAATCCTGTAGGCACTACTCCCTCTGCCTTCAGTTTCTTTACCCAACATGTTTCCTTGATGTTTTCTACAGAGTTTGTGGGTCTTCTTCTTACAGATACGAGGTCAGTCTTTGGAGACAGAGTAATGATTTTTGAATGTTCTGTGTTGGGCCTAATACAATGTATTTTTCTCAAAAAATATTGCATGCATTAGCACTTCTTATGATATTTTTTTCCTCGGAAGAAGTGCTAAGGAAGAGGGGGAATGTTCTGCCTTGTTTATTTTAAAGATTTCTCTTCTAGAAGAAGACCTGTTTAATGTGCATGCCACATTTCAATGAACAAGGGAAAATAATGAAGGGGAAATGCAAGCTTCCTCCCGCTTCCCCAGCACACACAGAAACACACACACTCACGTTGTTTAATTCCAGCGACACTTCTTGATATTGAGAGAAAAAGAGCGGTGCATGCATAAATAACACATAAATAATTTGAAACCACTTTGAAAAACACAATAGACCGCTTGTTTCTTCTGGGGCTGAGGCTCTTCCTTGTCATAGGAAATCCTGCCTTGGCCTCAAATTGAACCTTCATTAAATACACTTCACTGGGAAGTTGACTCCCAGGTCAGAGCCTGCAGAGGGAAACCCTTCCTCCCTAATTATATAGATTTAAACTCTAATGCGTTTGCTTCTGCTTTGGGCTATGAGCATGTTTCTTTAAGAAGAAGTGGGGGAGGGGCAGAACACTCAGGTTCAAATAAGTGCCTGGCCCAGAAAAACGGTGAAATCAGGACATTAAGGAACAGTGACACTGCAGTGGCCTGGAAACAGGGATCTGTAAGTTAATACCTGGAGCTGAGCAGTGATGGGTTAAGAGCAATGATGTAATTTCGTCTGAAGAGGGAATATGAAGTAGTGTTCAGGGTCCCAGAAAGAGGCAGGCTCTGTGAAGCTCAAACCCATCTTACCTACGGGCAGGCAAGGGGCCTGGTATGTTTCTAAAAGGTGTCCAGTGGATGTTGGCTGGTTCCTTTGGCTTAAGGATGAGAGTGTTTCAAGGGAAAAGGCTAGAGAATTTCCAGTGTTGCCAGGAGAACAGGAAGGGCAGAAGGCCTTGTAGATAAACCACAGGATTTGAAGACGCCCGTGTCTGAGTGCTACGGACTGTGGGAGACTGTGGCGTTTTGCTTGAGCTCTTCATGTCTCAGGATCGTCCCTCCAAGACAGGGATACGCATGCCTACCTCGTGTTTCTCAATGCTTACAGATGTTATTTCTCTATTGCTCTTCTTTGCCTTGCAAATATAAACACCACAAGGATGGAGATATGGGTGTTTCACATACTGCTGTATTCCCCCCCGAGCCCAGAACAATTTATGTTAAACGTTAAGTGAATAAATGCATGTATGCGCATGTATGAATAGCGTTGCTCTTTGGGTTAAAGGATCCCACTTTAAAGTGTCTAGTGAAGTGCCTGTCACATACTAATGTCCAATAGATGGTGGCCTAACCTTTTGTTCCTACTTATGTCTTTTCAGTTTCGGAAACGGTCCCAGATTCTTGGTGAAGCGCTGGAGGAGAAGATCTCTACTTGCACTGTTTAATGGTGATGGTGAAATCTCTGATCAGGTATGAGGATGGGAACCTAACGTTTTCTAACATTATCCAGTGGTCTAGAAGCATGTTCTCATTTCCGATGAATTCTATTCACTCACAGCCTGGGCGTCTTTTTCTTGCCCACAGGCTCTGCCCTGCCCTGCCTCTCATTTTCGCTCTGACTCTGGATCCTGCCAAGAACCGCTTGCCTTCTCTTTGCCCATCCAAGTGCTAACCCTCTGGCACTGTTCATCGCAATCATTGCCTCCTTTGTGAGGTCCTCTGTGTTCCCTCCCCGCCCACCCAGCAGCTTCTTATGACGGTTAGTTTGTTCTCCTGACACACATTCAGCACAAAACGTACACTGTCTGGGCCTTTCATGGCAAAGCAGCACAGGCTAGGGGACAGAGGTCCGATCTACTTGGAATGGAGGCCCCTCTATTGACCAGAACTTGTTGAATTCCTACTCAATGCCCAGTTCAGTGCCAGGCACTGAAATAGAGACGAACCAGGTGTTAGGGACAACTTTGGAAAGACGAAGCAGAGAGACAGAGATCTGCTGCTCTGGATTTTGGCTTAAAAGAAGAGAAGAGCCCCAAGTCCTAGAGGCTTAACCCTTCATTAACTGAATCTGTGTGCATCTCCCTTTCTCTATTGCAAAAGCTTTAGTGATGCACTGGTCCAGACAGGTTGAGATTTTTCTCTCATACCTGCCCGGGAGCTCCTGCCACCTGGTGTGCTGAGAGGGCACTGCAGTGTGATGGGAAATGGGAACTCGATTACCTTGTGAACGCAATGAATTTTCTAATACAGTCAATTTTTCTTTTCAAGGTTGCATAAGTTTTTGAACAGAAATATTTCATAGAACCCCAACATATAAAGTAGACAAAAATTAGCTGCTCTAGAGAATGTGAATTCCAGAAAGGTTGGAGGTCTCAGAGCCCTGCCTCTTTGGCCTTCCTTGCGCTCCAGAATTTTAGTGATGGCCATGGAACTCATGATCCATAATGGAGGATCCAAGACAAAAACAAAACAAAAAAAGAAAGACAGAAAAGTCTACAAGGGTAAGGGCTTTTTGTTTTTTTTGTTTGTTTGTTTGTTTTTGTTTTTTTTCAGTATGACCTCTACAGTTTCTTCAGGGAAGAAGAAACTCAAATTGACTGAACTTTTCTTTCTGTGCAGTCCTTTGTCCACCTTATCTCACTATAGATTCACACTCATCCTGTCAAGTCGACTTCGATAGGCCCACTTCACACAGATGAAGAAACTGAACCAAAGAGAGAATCAGGATTTTACCCATGACCACCCAACTTTAAATGGGTTGAGCCAAGATTCACACGCAGGTCTTTCTGACTTCAATGTCAGAGCTTGTATCCCATATCACTTCCAACTCCAAAACTCTATTCCTTCTAAAATGGGCAGTGGTAAGGCGTCTCTCAAGAGCACAGAGGACTGAAGGTGTTTTGGTATCATAGCCCTTTCCCATCGGTATCATTTGTTCTCTGGTAGGCCTTGTCTGTGCCAAATCTGGAGGCTAATTTGCTCAAGTCCAGGAACACACATAAAGGGTGTGAGTGTGACATTGGGGGAAAAAGGGTCAAAGAGAGGCTCCGGTTCTTGCCCAGGACCACAAGATCGGCACCAGAAGACATTAGATATCTCGCCTCAGAACTTTGGTCATAAGATTGACTCCAGTGCAAGTCCCCGATCTCTGGAAAAAAGTGGGTATTTTGCCTTCACCAGAGCCTGATGGCTTGTACATCTCCCAGAGATGGAGGCCACGGGAAGCCTGGAAAATAGCCTCCTATTAGAGCTGATCATCGGCAGAAGATGCACAGGGCCTGCAAAGTCCAACCCTGCTATTTCTGCTGTCTGGATGCCCAGATCTGCCAAGTGCGGAAGCTGTTCTCTGACGGGGCCCCTGAGGAATGGCACCAATCGGAGCCTCCAGTAACGCAATCACTTTTAATCAGCGTTTAATGACGATGTAAGCAGCCTCAGCTTCCCTCTGTTGCAGGGAGGCAACTACACACAAACTTCAATTACTCAGACGTTTAAAAATCAATTTTAAATAAAATGTCCAGGTGATGGAACTAAAGAGATTAGAAGGATCAGGATGTGTGCACCGGCCTGGCATGTCTTGTCAATGCAATTGGGGTCGACAGTTCCTGTAATGCAATAAAGCTGGCTGAGACTTTGTAGCCCGAGGGCTTAAGGGGAATAGGTCTTACCTCCCAACTCCCCCCCCCCCCCCCCCCCCCCCCCCCAAAAAAAAAAAAAAAAAAAGCCAAGGAAGATTCCAATGACAGAAAGAAGAGAACAGGACAGTGACCTTTGCACACTCAAGCTATGCTAGGAATGTTGACTTCATCTCATTTTATACTTGTGAAGAGCACAGGTGGCCTCAGGCTACCACGTGAGGCCCCAGCCCCAACTGGGTCTCCATCTGCACCACCAAATCACATACGTCACTATTTCTGTAGATGATCTCGACTTTTTTTTTTTTTTTTGCCAGTCCTATTTACTTATCATCCCCATCAACATGCTGGCTACTTAGCTCAATAAGCTTTAATGAAGCATGAACCATGTGGCAGGCACTGTGCGGAACAACATGGGGACACAGGTGAGGAAGTTATGGTCTCCGCTCCAGTTTACAGGGCAGAAGAAATGAGGCCAACTCCCTACCTGATCAAGGTTTACAGTCCTGCAAAAACAAATCACTTGCATCTTTAGACATGACAAGCTCTTTCCCACCTCTCAGTCTTAGCCCATATGGGGGGTGGGGGGAGGGAGAGAGAGAGAGAGAGAGAGAGAGAGAGAGAGAGAGAGAGAGAGAGAGAGAGGAAGAGACAGCCCTGGGGCTCAGCTGGTTAGCCCTTGCTTTGGGTCTGTGAACTCAAGATACTTCTTCCAATAATTCCCTTTTTAAAATTTTATTTGCCGAAGCTAGCAGGAGTCGAAAGTCTGTTACTTCTAACTAAAACAACAACAAATACATACCATAAAACCACTAATAATCACAGCTAGCATTTAGAGAATAAGTATGAAGTACTAGCTATTGTGCTAAATACTTTACTTGCAGTATCTTTTTTGACCATCAAAACCATCAATGAGGTGGGTATAGCTATTATCTTAATTTCTCCATTTTGTAGGTTAACATACTCTCTAGGTTGTTGCGTGGATTAACTCAGGTTAACATTGTAGTGGGAACCAACAGGGTTGGCTGGCTATCCTGTACTACCATCCCCATTTGAGAATGACCACCCTCTCCATTCATGTTGTATTCAAGAGTATCCCTTGGAGTTGTCAAAATAGAACTTTCCAAAAGTTAAAAACATGCCTCATACAAAACAGAATGCACATGAATAAAAAATCTATTCAACTTATTAATTAATGAGGGGATCATTAGGATGATAAATCTGGTTCAAGAAAGAATTAGAGGAAAGGAATTTATAGTCAGTCAATCAGTCAGACAGAGATGCTGAAATGTATTTGTCAATAGATTACAGATCTGGTTAATGTCTTGTGGAGCCAAAAAGCTGTACCCTTCTGGTTATGTTTTCTAGAAAACTAACCAGTAGACATATCACTTCAGAGTATCAGGGCTGTAATAAAATAGCAAATAGAAAATGCAAACACAGGCACATTCTCCCAGGTCAGGGATCCAGCAAACTTTCTAAAGGGCCAGAGAGTAAATACTTGTGGCTTTCCAGGTCATATGGTCTCTGTTCGTTATTCAGCTCTGACATTGAGCATGAAAACAACCTTAGATAATACATAAACAATGTGGTTGTCCTGATAAAACTTTATCTGCAGAAACATGTGGCTGCAGGTCATAGTTTGCCAAATCCTTCCTATCCTAGGCGATTTAATACTTGGGTGAGCCAGTTAAACAATGCCTAAGGGTGACATTGATGGGACATGCAGTTATCCTATTGCTTTATCTCTAAGTTTTGGTTCATTTTTCTTAACAGCACTAAAATAATGGGGCCACCTGGATTTGCTGACGCAGTGCCGCTGCCCCGCCTGCCATGTACGTGGATTCAGCAGAGCCTTTATGTTTATTCCAATGGGCCCGATTCTCTCCCCAACTGCTCTCTTCAATGTTGATTGGACCCCAGTTGGCACTTGAACCAATCTCCAGATCTGGATGGGATGAAGTAGTTCCTACCTCAGGCTGGTTGCTTTCTTGAGTGGAAGAGGTATAAATTCTGGTGCTGATGGAGGCAGCCATTTTCTGTCACCTCAATGGGAAACAAGAGGAATTGAGGTCAGAAGAAACCCACTCTGTTCCTCAATTCCACAGTCCACACAGTAGGAGTTATATAACATACTTACTTCATGGGGTGGGTATGCATTTTAAATGTGATGATGTGTGTAAAGCACCGGCTTGGAGCCCAGCACATGCACTGTAAAGGTCACTTCTCTTTTCTTTAGGATTCTTCTTTCATTGTCATCCCAAGTGACCCCCATTGCTAAGTGGCTTTAGCATCAATACAGAAATGCTGATACCATAGCTCTGCCTCCTTTGCTTGACTTCAATGCTCTTTCTTCTCCACAGAGATGTTTTACTTCACCATTGGCATCTAACTTCTGACTTTTACTCGAACTGCTTCTAGAAACTTTGTGCTTTACAGCTGAGTAACTCCGCTGACTTCTTTATTTTCTTCTGCGAGTGTGGACAATCAGGGAGCAGAAAGGGTCAAGTACTGACTGAGCAGCAGTATGGCTGAGTATTTTAAATAGATCATCTTTAATCCCCACAAAGTTCTATTTTTAGGGGCACTGTTGTCCCTATTTTTATAGATGAGGAAACTGAGGTTCAGGAAGTTTTGTCACTGGCTCAAGGTTGTAGTCCTAGAAAGTGTTTGGGGGCTGGGATTCCAACTCAGGCCTGACTCCAAGTCTGAGTGCTTTTATCCACTAATACCTACTTTTTTCAAAGTGCTTTTCTTTTGGCTGCTATTTTGCCTCTTAGCTGCCTCTCCTTCTTTGGCAAAACTGATCCTCTGTAGCCAGAAGGAAAGACACAAATATTGTTTAGTGCTTAAAATCAAACAAGAAGCTTTTTACACAATGTTCTCAAATACTTCAGCAGTTCATAATCCATTTTTCATTTTTGAGCAACTCGGCAGACAATATTTCAATCACGGTTTTGACTTTTGGGGATGTGTTCACCAGAGAACTCTCTGCTCCGAGCATGACAAGATTTCAGAAGCTAGAGTCAGATAAAAGCAGGAGGCATAGCCAGTCATTCTAGAAAGGTTATGTTCACCAAACTGCAAAGTACATGTCTGTATGTCTGCTCATGAAAGGACCATGCTCTCAAATGGCCAGGACCAGCCGCAGTAGTAAGAGAGAAATAATAGGACCAGAGAAAGATGAGGTAAAATTTATATAGAGAATACTTGCTATTTTTGGCTGCTGGGTATTGTAACATCTTATAATTTCACCCCCCCCCAGTTTTATTGTGCTATAATTGACATATATCATTGTATTAATTTAAGGTGTAAGGATTTGATATATGTATATATTGCAAAATGATTATCACAATAAGTTTAACATCCATAATGTCACATAGTTACAAATTTTTTTCTTGTTTTAAGAAATTTTAAGATCCACACCCTTAGCAACTTTCAAATACACACAAAGTATTGTCAACTACCTTCCTATTTTTAAAGAATCAGGGCCCCCCTTTCCTCCATTTTCATTACAGATCTAGGTCCCTCCCCCAGTTCTATGCCAGTAGAGCACAGTCATGTGACCTACACTGGCCAATCAGAGGCTCCCACCTAGGACATTGAATCTCAAGAACATGACACATCTATACAGGGGTAGCTAGAGATTAATTATGGTAACTGTGCTGCAGCCAAAAGTCTAGCCAGAAGTGTCAAGGTTGGTAGCAGTGGCCCAGAAAGACTGTTCCTGTCACAGGATCTTAATGGTGCCCAACCTCCCTTGGTTTTTGCCCATTTCCTGAACTTGGTTGGGTCTCCAGGCTTTCAATGTTGTGAGGTATCCAATAATTTCTTGTTTTTTGAATTAGCCTAATTTGGTTCCCACAGTTGGCATCAGAGTACCCTGAGTGACATGCTCCTCAGTGCCCAGCAGCAAGGCCTGGGCTCCTGCACATACTGGTATCTCTGTTCAAATGAGATTCCTGTCAGAGTTTCTACTCATTTGGAAGAAAAAAGCAAAAAGCTTCAGAACTTACTATAGTTAGAACCTTAGCTAGCACTAAGGAGTTAGTTATATTGGCCATCACTCTATTTTTTCTAACCCATTAATTTGAGATAGATGTACAGACAGGAGTCTGGACAAGGATTTTTCTTCCTGCTATCAAAAGATAAGTCTCAATAACCTCATATCAAAGCCCAAGTTATTTCTTTCATAAAGATGGAGGATTCACAAAATGAATCAGGTCAAATTTCTGTTCTTGTGATCACTAAATAAATAAGCAAAAACCAAGCTATGCAGTGCTTGTTTTTGTTGTGGTGTCCTAGATGCTGTGTAAGAAGCAGAGTACAAAGAGACAAGGGAACTGACAAGAAACTGACAATTATTGGACATTCGCACTATTGCCTTTATTCTTCAGCTCTGCATAGGGATGTAAATATTATTAATCCTATTTCTCAGTGGAAGAAAAAGGCTCACACAGACAAAAGAACTTGCTCAGACATAAAGCTGGTAATAGTGCAGCCAGGATGTTAAGTGACTCCATGCAAGGTCCACTCTCCCAGCTTTGGAAAAACAGAAGCTATTGTGCCTCGTAAATTCAACCACAGGTAAGACCACAATGGAAAAAAAAAATTGACTTTTGCTAAGTAATGGAAATGCATCATAGGGATTGTTATAATTCAACTGAATTTCATTTCAAAACAATTCTTTTAATGGATGTACAGAGTGACTATCACACAGTAGGTACTAAAAAATATTGAGTTGAATTGAGTAATTTCTGACTGGTTAAGAGGGAAAGAGTAACAGATGTAGAAATAATTAATCTGGGCTTTTGTGTGGTATTTTCCATACTTCTTAGTTTGTTTTGCTGCTTGGCAAAAATAAAACTCCAAATTCTTTCTGGGCTGTTTCATAATTGATAGATGAACTCGGCCTAATTGTTGACCCATAGAGAATGGTTAGAAATACCAATACCCTCAGGGTTAAATTTCCCAACGTTTGTTGTGGAAATATTTAGTCAACTAATGATCTCCATACCCTGCTGTTAGTTTTGGCAGGAACTTCTCCCCTTGTTTTTCAAAGAAAGACCAAAAGAATCCTCAAGGATAAATACCTGTGTGAAGCTCCCAAAGCTATTGTGAAGATGGGATAACATGGAGGAGGGAATTAAAATTCCTTGCTAAAAGAAAAATTAAAAAACAACAATTTGCAAATGCAAGAATGTGCATCCACAACTTGAAAGAATTAAGAAAAAATAAAAAGTACATCTATCCAGAGACCCAAAGGACTGGTTGGAAATTTTAAAAAGCGGTCTTTGCTAAGTAAAGTCTAAGAAGACTGAATCAATTTTTATTTGAGGCCAGTCTCATCCATTCATCATCTAGACATCATCCATCCTTCCATCATCCATCATCTATTCATCCATAATATATATAGCACTTCTGTTGAGAACACAAAGATGTGAAGACAGACTGTTACCTTCAAGGAGCTTAATGCAAGTAACACAATCTGTTCTTTGTATGCTTGTTTTAGCTAATATTTAGTTAGCATTGACTATGCAACAGGCATTATGCTTAAAAAGCAGCACAGGGCCGGCCGAGTGGCACGATGGTTAAGAACTGGCTTGGGATGCCAGAGGACCCCGGTTTGGATCCCACATATGGGGGCAAGTGACACTGCCCTCTACAGCTGAGATGCTGAACAACAGCTCAACCTGGAGCTGGGCTGCCATGAGTCGCTGGCGACGGCGTGGGCTGCAGTCCCTGTGGCAGTGGGTTGCCATGGGTACCGTATATAGCCAGCAGCCAGCGTGAGCGGCCAGCAGCCGCAGTGAGTGGCCGTCCAGAAGCCGGCGACTGATTTGCCTCGCCAGGGAAGAGCGCA